TCTATATTTTTTTGTGATTATCGATTTTTATCGATTACCGATACTAATCAATACTAAACAGTTTGATATATCGAGTAATATCGATTAGCTTTCCGATGATCGATTTTCATCGATTAGTTATGCCGGGGTTATAGACGAAACAAGACTGAAGAAATCGAGAAAAAAGTGAACGCCAAAGACAACGATTAYTGAGGGAGAATTTCACAGAGGAGAACTGACATATTCTCCGACGATACCGTGGGGTTATTAAACAAATGGCTGTATGTTAGATTATGTGCACCAGTGTCAAGTGGGTTTTGGTGTTCAAATATCAATTCTACTTCTTCAAGAACCACAAGCAGTTTTAATCTGATTTTTGAAAATCTTCACCCCCGTCTTCACCTGAAGTACACTTCAAAACTCATATGAGTTTGTTGACAATGAAAATATGTGTGAATTGTGTGTGCATTCTATAGGCACATTATAATCTTCTTTGACATAGAACWACTGGCATGTTTTAATTTAAGTTTATCAGAACTGTGCATTTAAAAAGAGAGCCTTAATATTTATTTGAATGTTCAGATTTTTACTCTTTTACTCTTCAATAAACTCTTTAATACAAACTGTCAACAAATACAGGAAATATTATGTTTGGATAAGCAAAGAATTTGAGAAGTTGCTTTAAACCTTTCATTAATTATTATCATTATAATCATTATGATTCCTTTGTTTACAAAACTGTCAAAATGTATTTATTATCATTTATGATCACTATATGATCACATGTATGATTGAAAAATACCGTCCAACAAAACTGATGTATTGATTWGTGTCATTCCTGTGTGATTAAATTATTTATGTTTCCTGTATGATTGAAAAACCACCAAAATTGTCAAATTGTATTAATTATTTTTTATGATCACTCTTGGCCATATAAATTCAAAACTTGAAGATAAAATTCATGTCTTCAAGCTACAGCTGCAATGTTGTGTTTATTAAATGACAGTGTAAGCGAAAAACTGTAACATAATCATTAGAAGATCAAACATTTTGAACATTTGAATATATTAATCATTAACTTATGATTTCTGCATGATTAAAAATACCAAGACTGTCTGTTTTGCAAGCATGAAGTCTTTATTTTTACTCGCACATGCGACCCAGCCCCTGGGACTCCCCAAGCATGTATGCACAGGGAGCCCATCACATAACACTGTCAAAATGCATTTATATTATCTTATGATTCCTGTAGGGCGATTCCACGTTGTGGACATTACAYCCAGAGGCAAATTCTAAATYTTCAACTTCCTCTAAATTCTTTGATAATTCAATCTAGAAGCTAAAAGTTATATGCTGGATACTTAAATGGAGTTTCTATAATTTGGTACAAAACGTTTTCTTTTTTACTTTTTGTCAACTGAAAAATAAGCTTTTAAACTGTGGACGTTACATATGAAACTACCACATATTCARTTGCTTCTCTTTTATTGCATTTTCCTGTGATTTGAGAGATGTTKAACAATAGKCAAYATTATGGCTACACTTGTTGGTGATAAAAGCTTCTACAATAARARATATTTCAACAATATTTCAATATATGTTTTATCTTCAAAACATTGCGTTGTGGACATTACCTAAAAATCTGTGTGGACATTACATGAGGGTCTCAATGGGRWGGTACGTATCACGACTCACGGCTAGAAATTTGGCGATTTCACGACTCACGACTAATTTTTTCGAATCACGGTTAACTAGATTACTTTTAGAAATTTTTGAATTACGTTTTTCATTGCTTTTTCTTTTTTCGTATTAATAGACTGCGTGACTTATTCGTACGGACATGGATTTTTCTATTTCAAATAAGCCGAAATGAGACTATTTCAGGGACGTCGGAGCGTTTTTTTGATGGGGGGGGCTATAAACTTTCAATTTTTGTTCTTTTCAAAAACGAATAAAAACGTATATATACTAATCATGGAAATTCAATAGACGGTGAGATTACGAACCAATTTTGTCAGATTCAAACAACGGTGTRAAATTTGTTTATCAAGGATTTTTGTAAGCCTAAAAAGTGGGGGGGCTATAGCCCCCCTAGCCCCCCCCCCGGCTCCGACGTCCCTGTATTTCCACGAAAAAATGATTAATCATAAATTCATAATACACAAAAAAAAATCTAAAAAGTGTTAAACATAGTAGGTATTGAGAACATAGTAGTGACATTGCTGCACATATGGAACTTATTGCCATACATCGGGTGACATTTGCTTGGATTATTGTCCAGGCTCACTCATGCATCCATGCATGCATTTATATATGCATGTAATTTATTCATTTACTTCATGAAATATAATACAATGGAGTTAATTAATATTTTGTCGTCGATCGACCTCATTAACATCATCATCTGACCATTAAATACTATTGCAAAGTCACCTCTAGAAAGGAAAGTACATGTACATATAATATCACAGTTACGTTCACTGACTGATATAAATTTTTCAAATATTGAATTAACACAAAAGTGCATAGTTTTGAGTACATTTTCAACATATAATAAGAAAGCAATAATTTGAAAAATTCAAGTTTGATTTTTGTTGCTTGTGCCTACAGAAGTAGTCTCCTTTGCATCCGTTCATCGTCGGGACAGGAATCCCGAAACGCAAACGGATGCGAAGCAACGCCAACTCTTCAAAGGCGAAAATACGTAATTTGATTTTTAAATTTTCTCACGAAAAATACACAGCAATGTCACACATACATTTTATTTCTTAAATCCGGTGCTAGGTTTTTTATTAACAAAATAAGTTATGCGCGAGGCCCAGTTTTTTGGAGCGAACTGTGGTGAAAACATGGATCGCCATACTATTTTAATGCTCAACTTCAACTCTTCAAGGGCAAAAATACATGATTGGATTTTCGAATTTTCTCACGAAAAATACCCAGAAAGGTCGCATATATATTTTATTTCTTAAATCCGGTGCTAGGTTTTTAGGATTGTTTTTAATGTCGCCGCATTTCTTCAAAAAGCCTTGAAATCTGGCCTTTTTTCGTCAAATTTGGCACTTTATACGGACTGTCAGGTCAAGCTTGAGTGATCACGGACTATTTGTCCCCCATAAGTTTCATATGNCTAGTGCAAACAATGTCAGACCTTTTAAATTCCTTAGAAATGTATAAGTATAAACAAAGATCACAATATCAACTGAAGATCATTGTTTAAAATACCTGAGGGAAACGTGTGTTCCAGCAAATAATATTATTTACACTATGGACATTCCAAACGAGCACCTCACAAGCCACTAATGAACTCAAGGATCAGGGCGTGCTATCCCAATACTCGTTTGTCGATGTTTTGAACGTTTCGATTTTAGCCCAGTATTGTATTAAGATAAAGGATCGTTGCCGCAACGATCTTGTGCGGTACAAGAGTAGAAAATTTGATCTTCAAAAGTTCAAACCTCAAGGGAACTTGTAGAAAGCTCTATATTTTGGTGGGAAAACCCGCTGACTGGTCCCGGGCTCAAATGTCCGGAATTTCTGGCCATGTATCCACAAACTGAGCAGCTATGGTATAAAGGGGAATACCACAAGTACTTCCCAGTTAGTTAAAACCATAGGCTGGGACACACTTGAAAACAGGAGGATACGCAACCAGTCCACACTATTTTACACGTTCAATAACAATCTCTCCACTGGCAACCTCCAGACGATTTGACTCGCACCAAGAACATTTGAAGCTCAAGAAGACACACCCGGACATACCAGCAATTTCAGGCTAATATAATTATTGGCATTTTTAAAACTATCCGTTCTTTCCAAGAACCATCCGTACCTGGAACTTTCTACCTGCAGAGGTAGTGAACGATGCTGACCTGCCTTCATTTAAGTCGGCATTGGCACCTGCGATAAGTGAGCGTCCCGGGGGGGGCACTCGACCCCGTTTTGGATAGGTACGTGCCGCCAGCGGTCTAAATCCCTGACCCTGTTTAAGACACTAAAAAGTAAAAATCCATACCCTGTTCAAGACAAATCGGAAAAATAAGGAATAGCTATCTACGCCGCAACCATCAAAACTGCAATTATACTGACATCCATCAAAGACAATAAGAAGTTTTTGATAACACGTTAATTCTGGGACAGTGAAACGGTATTTCTACGGTGTTATGAAAATATTACCCTGTCCAAGACACACACAAAAATTATATCGGTCTCTTTTATCTAAATTGTAGAGCCTGTTTAAGACAATTTCGGGTGAAATGTATACCCTGTTTAAGACAGCAAGGCCAAAAACCATACCCTGGCCAGCGGCACGTCCCCGTATAGCAAATATATGGCAGTACCCCCCCGGGGTGAGCGTAAGGTGCCCAGTCACCTTCGCAGACTGTAAGATCCSTCCTGCCTGTCCCTCTCGTAATTAGAGTAATCTACTAGGGAATATAAGTTCTAAGTTCTAAGTTCTAAGATCGAAAAAGCGGACAAACATGCAAACAGCAAATCATCATCGAACCGAAGATCTCCATCTATAAATGGTTGAATGTTGCCCATTATCAATAACACCTTTTCGTTATAGCATTACCCATTCTTTCCAATGACTTTTTTGTGGAATAGAATTATATAATTTCACTTTTTAGAATCGTCAAGTTATTTTCTTGTTTTCGCATAGAGCGGTTTTCACTACAATTTATTACTCTTGACTWTGAAAGCCTTATTCTTTGACTTTCRGTCTGTGAAACACTGACTATCATGATTGTTTCACGGGATATGTGRAACCACTCTATTATCTTCAACGATTAATGAGCACTTTCGAGCATGCTTTGCGGAAAGTGCAAGCTTAAACGATCATCCACAATTCCATCCACAGTTWTTTCRCCTACATTTTTATGGTGTTAAATTTATCTTTTTACAAAACTGTTTCTTTAGAAACACCGACGTAGCTCACTCTAGTTAACCGCTACTTCCCATCATCTCCCATAATGGAGAATGAGTTTATCCTTTCAAACCGATCAAAATGATATCAAATAAATGTCATGAATAATACTTTATTTTCTTATTTATTCTGATAAACTAAATATGACGCCATAGCTCGTATGGTAAACAAGCCGACCAATGAAGGGTGATAGAAAACATCCTAGTTATTGTTATTGATCAATTGGTTGCCATGGTAATATCTGATGGCGTAGACTTCATTCTCGTTCTTGATTATGATCTGAAAATAAAAATTAGAAATAAGACAGATGTTGTTTGATTGGACGCATGGAGTTCCCAGGGGTGTGTGCAGGGTTTGCTCAACTCCTCTCATGAGAGTTTGGTTGTATTGGAAAATAATTGATATAAATTTTGTTATAGATTTGATAAAGGCTTATAAAAAATGAAATTAGAATATCTTTTGTTGTTTTCTTTATTATCACAACAACTGAACAACCTTTGGACGACATAAAGGGTAAGAAAAGCAATGCTTACATTTCCTTTTCAAATGTATTTGGTTGTAAAGTTTGCGGAATGGTTCTTGTTGTTCCCTGTTCAGCGGTTCATATTCAGCAYTCATTCTTGTTCGTTTAAATGATTGTAGTCCTCGTCCCTCTCGGAAAAATGACATCGTTGTTTGTGATAAGAGACTTAGAACTAGTATTACTGAGAGTGCGTAGATCATACCTCTTGTGTGTGCCATGTTTATCTAAAAAGATATATAGCGTTAAGAATAATCAAATTAAAAATGACCCCCTGCCCCTTTCACCGATACCCGTATCTAGCAAGCCTGTTAAATTCTGAATTAACGATATCTGAGCATATCAATTTCTATTTTACAATGGTAAAAACATTTTCAAAGAAATGCATAGTCCCAAACCATGCAATTCATAGTAAAATTGTTTGGTAATTCTACAAAGTAAGTCAAAYGYTCAAACTTGCCAATTTTGAATTCTTSTGGTAGGGTTTATTTTTTGATTARATYGKTTTTAGGAATTGGAAGCCAGTCCTCTACTTGTTTTTTGTAGTTTTCTATTACTTAGTTTTATTCATATCTTAGTAGAACATGCGAACTGCTTTTAAAAAGGCTTACTAATTCAAGAGATATAGCRTATTTAAATGTACTTCTCCCAGTCAACCGCCACAATAAAAAGGAAGAAAAGAAAACTGAAAAAATAAGGCTTTCAAAATGATCTAACAATCAATATTAAAAGACAAAGTAAACAATTTTGAAATATTGCATGAAAGATGGCATTAGATYATTGTAACCTGTAGCTTTGCACTTTCTCAGTACCAAGCATAAGGATCTTGTTCTACACAATAGATGATATAACCTTGAAATCAGGTCTACGTCAAGTAATTATTTCATGTATAACCATCTCCTTGAAAATTTTGGAATAATCAAATTTTACTTTTACTTGAAAGTTCTATGAATTTTGAATTTTTAGCGTGATAATTTACCTTAATCCGGSGAGTTCTTTTATAACAGACGACTGACGCGTGATGACTGAGGACTAGTTTCTGTGGATGTCTGTACGTGTATACGAGTTATTATGGTATCGTTATATATATGAACTTATCTCATTSTACAATTAAGTTGTAATTACAGTGAACCTTTATCCGTTATCACGGTGATAATCCTTTCTAATCGTTACTGCACACTTTAAGGTTTTGAGATTAACGCTTTTAATTTGTATCGRCAATTCAGGAATCTCGATAGTAATTATGGGTCAAGTAGGATGTTGGTTTTTGATATGTTTGAAAGTTTTGAAAACAGAATGATGAAAGACCCATGAAACGATCTAACTTGTTTGGTGACTGATGTTAGATTCAGTATATTAAATCTCTAACTGCAAATAGTTAAAAACTAACTTATTGCATTGAAAACTAACTAAATAAAAGATATAAATGGATAAAAGATTATCTGAATAACTTAATACTTTATTGTGAGTATGAATCATGGAAGAATTGAAAAAAAGAGGTGATGGAAAACCAAATATACATGATGACCTACTCCTAATACCTGACCAGTAAACTGACTGAACGACGATCCACAACCAAAAATAAATAAAGTCTAAATACAGGAGGAGCAAACGGGATCTGTTCTGCTAAATAACTGTTCTTGTATGAATTTGTTCCTGGGAAAGGGTTTTTGCCAGCTACATTGTTGACAATCTCACAAGCAAATGTGGCACCCTTCCTTCTTTAAAATAATTTGTTCCTGGCACTCGTTTTTAAGGTCAAAAAAGGCTTCTATAATGTTTTTATGGTCAAAAATGTCTGATATTTTTTTAGTTGGAAAATGTTTATTTTCCTGGCAAAAATTATTAGAAAGTGTTCCTTGCCAGGAGAGTCCTTTTTTCTTGAATTTCGCGCTGTCAACCAGTTGTGGCTTACAGCTGGCTGGGACATAAGAACAGATATATTTCTCCCAGGAATCCATCGGCTCCTCCTATAAATATATCTTGTCTCAATAAGCAGGAGTTGAGTGAAATAATTAAGGGACGGAAGTAACTGAGAATATCAGTTAAAGGATCAAAACTGGAGTTATCAGTACTAAAATCAGGAAAATTCGCTACAATGAATTAAGGATATTATTAAAAAGTAGTCAGCGCAGGTAAGTTATGACATCATTGGTTCATTGAGCATTAATTGTGATTTATCGTTCCCAATTGATTTTCACTTCCTAATGTACTAATGAGCAAGTGATAGTTATGTTAATAGGGTATTCTGTAGTACATAATGTTATCAAYATAAAACGGATTCTCCAACCCACGCTCGCTTCCATTTTCACACAAACTGTATCAATCAACATTCGTTCGATGGCGTCATTCTAATAAAGACCAGAATGCCCTGCGCATTTTCATGAATTATCTATTATTCTGTACGCAAAGTCAAATACTCAACTTGGTCGATAATGTTTCAGGTGTAATATTGTCAAAATGTGAGAAACCAAACCACGACATTGGCGACATCTATATTAATTTGTGAGATGTTTTGTAGAATATATTTTTTTTTTTCATTCATTTTTCCCAATCTTTAGTCGTATGTTTTTTACACAGCGTAAAATAAGAAAAAAAMCATATTTCTAAAGTAGGAGGAAGGCAATAGTTTTCATCGTCTTTAATTAAAAGACGTTCCCTGTGTGATCAGTACTTGTTAATTACGCGCTCTTGAATGACATGCTACTSTACAAGTCGTCCAATACCATGTAAACGCGGCTAYACACAACACGTGCTCAAATCCAATGAATATTCTAGTTTGAAGTTTCAACTTTTGTAGTTAATTACTAGAAAACTGTAGAAATTGTTGAGTGTAAGTGGATATATAACCGTTTTCTAGCGTCTAATCCTCATTCGAGTTGAGATTGATAAGCTAATACTATAATGAACTATGATGAATATTCTAGAAAAGCAGTCGAAAATTTCAGGACGCCAACTGAAGAGTAATATACTGGGGTAAAAATATCATGCCCCCATTTGTATACAGCTACATTGAATAGAGTCATAGTTCATAGAAAAGCACAAGAAGTGTGCGTTTTCCTGAAATAATTCCCTTCGTAAAGCATAAAATAAAAGATCAATGCATGTTTACCTTAATGTGACTTCAAAAAGACTGACTTCATTTGTCAATACAATGCWATCCACAAAGCGTTAATCAGTGTAATGATCGCATAATGCGTAAAACGTAAGTAACATGGAGAATCCATTATATGAAATTAAAAGATTTTTCATTCGATTATCGATATATGGGTTTCCATCTCACCTAAGCTTTTCATAAAATTCAAAYMAATTYTTTACGCTAAGGTGATTCTAGTAATGCAGGTTTGCTTCGCGGTCTGATTTAGAGAAAAAGGAGCTCGTCCACAAAACAAAATTTTACATTCTAAAAAATAAATCCTGTGATATGGAAAGTTAACTACAAGTCTATTACATTATTAAAACATTTAACATCGTGAATCGTATATCACTTTCTAGAAGTAACCGATGTTGAAACAGGTAAAAAAACGTGTGTTGTTAGTTTCCCGGCATTTCAAAAATTCCTGCGCAATGCGTCGATCGCCTATGTTCCATTTAATGTACTAGAATATTATATCATATAACAGTATTATACTAGRAATAATATACCAGTAATATATAGATATTAGACGACTTCTTTATCTATGTTTGACTATCACACCTTGCATATTAATTATTGTCTTATCCCGGCTTAGAGTGAGTGGTATTAAAAAAAAGACAATTCACCAACAAAACAACAATTTGAATCTTCTAATTATGAATTTTGGCGTTTTTGTGAATATGACATCATTTTAATGCAAGGGTTTCATTAGACAATTTTTGTGGGRCGCCGTCTCTTTTTTTCAGTCAAATCCTATGTATTAAACCAAATTTTCCAAAAAGCGAGAGCTCACTCTGTGCGCCCATGAGTGTGAGTATTAGCCCCACTTCATTCACTATAAGTAAATGGTCTAATCCATCATTAGTCGAGGGTCATACCGTGTCTAGGCAGATACGCCTGTTTTGACATGATTATTGTAGCTAATAGAAACCAAACCGAACCTGATGCAAGTTAAGAGATCACAGAGAGATAAGTAGGTTTCTGAAATTTCAAAATACTCTGACGGAAGACCAGAAAAAGTAAAGCAAACACGTTAATAGTCCATGTGTAATCTAGTCATTCATGAAGGAATGTGCAGATGAAAAATAAGTCACTGTATTTTGATTGGTATCTTACAAGAATGAAATTTCATCGAATTCGACTAAAAGCCATGTCCAGCTGTTTCAGCCTGTATTGAGCCTCTTCAGGACAATGTATCTACTGAACCACCACTGAGGGATCTATAGGAATTGGTGATGATCAGGCAGTAAAAGTGTTAATGGAAATAATGTTTAAAGAGTGTTTTTTTAGTGCGAGTGACATTTAAACGCTTATCTAAATAGCCTTTTTCAGCTTGGYCTTTTAAAAAAGCGACACCACGTAAACGGACATTTTCCCTTTTTTTCAGGGTTTTAGGCCATTAATCGAATTTTCAGTCTTCACTTTCTCTCATAACAGTGAATACAAAATTTGTACTTACTTGTCGTCCAAGCAGCTAGATTCTCGTGAGAGTTTTTAAAAAAAAATTGAACTGAGAAAAGGGTGCAAAAACCGACGTGTATAGTTCGTGGCTTTCCCTTGCCTGTGATGAGTTGTTAGTGGCCACTCAATATATTAAACTACTTATATTGCCTGGAGATATTTTAGGTTTCATTGTCTAAATAAAACGATTAATTAAGCATTTGCGGTAAACTAATTATGAAATATTCTCTTCATGAATGATACAATCTGGAGTTGACATTGCTATGTAGGCAGCTAAACTCTTTTAGAATGAGTTGAAAAAAGGCAGTTTTCATGATTTGGTGCACTTTGGTACGCATATATAAAGTCAGTTTACGAGATTGTGATGCACATTTTACAAATATGAATTGCGAAGTGCTCAATAAAAACGGAAAYCGTATGCGAAGAAAAATAGGTAATTTGATCGTCAACTCTGAATCTTGCTCTCGAAGAGTTAATTGTTTTTCTAATTAAAAGATTTATTTCCTTGATTTTAAATYAATTTTCCGCTAAACCTCAGAGATAGCTCAAACTGCAATCATTCCGTGCGGACGCTATCGTATCTCRAAATTAACTCATTGAAAAARTTTTAGCTCGATATCWTTTTGGAATTCATCGTYTYTGAAATACGAAAAYACTTCTAATGCTCACTCTCTTTTCAAGCAAAAACGTCTGCTTATTATTTGCTATGGCTTAAGGGTTCGAATCATTCGGTTCCTGATTTACAAAAAGAAAGGAAAAAAATTGTTATTATGTAGGAAATGATGTAAAGCTATGTTTTCGGAAATGTAAAACGTTTGACTCAGCATGAGACATTGAATCATTCCACCAATTATTGCTGAAATTTATTTTAAATTCGATGTTTGTTGGTGCTTTAGTTTACGTATATCGATGAATTAAATTATGAACGAATTAAGGAAAAGTTAAATCTTTGAAGAAAGCGCAATATTTAACAAGGTCCTATTTGGTAGGTTATGGATTTTTTTGTCATAGCAAAGTTATAAACAAACATGTATTTTAGTGAATGCCAATAAAGGAAAWTTCGATTTGAAATCATCGAAAGCACTGTAAAGATTCAGTCTACTGTAAAAAGATAATTTTGCGAAGAGATAGTTAAATTAAGCATTTTGCAATACTGAGATTCCAAATTGGCCTCCAAATGCTTGAAGCGTCAAGGATAACTAATAAGCTAATCTGTTTTATTTTRAAATTAAGACTAATTTCTTCCCACGAATGTCTCCTAAAAAAGGTCAGCAAAATCGAAAAAAAAATTTTTTTTCTGGAAATGAAGAAGAATTCAATCGTTATTGTAACAGTACTTACTAAAAATGAAATCATATCCTTATATCATTGCAAAGGAAAAAAGTTACCTTGTGAAGATGGTTAATCTAGTGGCGGGGATGACCAAAGTAACAATGTTTCACGATTAGCACTGTATTTATATAATCTTAYTCACCAAGTCTTTTGTTGAATACAACAAGCGGGCGGGACTCTAGTGGAGAAACGGTCCACGCGAAGGCGTTACTGCACCTGCAKCTCTTTTTAAGCAATTCTCTTGAGTCCTTTCGAATTCTCCAGTAATTACCCCAGCGGGAATTTCATGTCATTTCTTAAAAGGCAATTGAAAGTATGTTGTTATTGTCATGGTATAAAGCGAAGTGATTTACTTGACGAATTGACAAAGATCAATTTCCGCAGGATAATTGTAGTTGCACATTTGCAACCATCTTTCAATGATTATCTCAATGGGCCAATGCGTTTTAGATTCTAAGGTTTGAAGACTGTGTACTCGTAAAGTCACTAAAAGATGACAGCGTCATGTCTTTTAATTGAAAAAAAAATTAGTCTTTATGGAATTTCGGAAGTAGGGACAAGAGAATAAGGTGGTTTTCTTTTGGAATTGTGCTATGACATCATCATCAAGTGACTCGCTGTGGCTGCTTCAGAGGCCACCCTAAAAGTTCTATATATATTCCAGAACACATCCATTAAAAGTGGGAAATTCCATGACGGAAAAATGGACTTTTTTCGATTACTGTTAATAATATTTTTCAAAAGAGTAACTATACAAGGCGATGACTCGTTTTTGTTTCAACACATAGAAAGCTGTATTTGCCGATGGAGGTCAATCTCATTGTTGAAACACAAAMTATCTGGCAAGATTAAAGTGAACACTATCAAACACTTTGCAATTGGCCGAAAAGAATGAATGAGTGAATGGACAAGTGAATTACTATGGCAACACACCAGTGTGAAGAAATAAAAGTGGTATATACAATTGGTCAATTTTGACAAATCTATTCATAACGAAACTGGATAAATTAACACACCAATARAATATAGTGTTCCTAGTCCGTTCCGTAGGCTTAAACGCCTCCAAAAATGATTTATGAACTAATTACTAAATAGAAACCCGTTACAAATAACATGCTTTCATCAAGACCATTTCAAACGGAAACACTTTGTAATTGAACTTTTAAAGTTCCTGTTTTTTGAATGTTACTTGCTGTCAGAATCACCACACGATAACAACAAATCATTGGCATTTAACTCTCCCCTTCCCTAGTCACTTTTAAATAGGCAGCTCTTACATTACAAAATGCAGCTGTTCCACTGATTTTTGTATAAAGAAACTGGGATGAAGGCTATGATGACTTTTTGAGTCCGCAAGTTTTTTCTGTGRCACGTGCGTTGAAATGATAAGTATTTCGTTTTCTCTCTCATGAACATATTTACTTTTCAGACTCCCACATTTCGAGCGCTAGATATTCGTCGTAAAAGCCACCTGAAAGCTGTTGTTARGATTCGAATTCATTTTAAAATCTAATCTACTTTGGCCCTGAACCACAATGTCTGCTACTTTGTTTCTGTTCCTAAGCAGTTTGTAAAGACATGTAGCTTACAATGAAATGGATTTGTTGGACATATACTTAAAAACCTGACAACACAATGCTGTATATAACGAATGAGAATTTCTCCTAATTTCGAAGGTTGTATTTATATGTTTCCTTTTTTAAACAGGATTTGAACTTCTCGTAATTCAAATTTTAATACTTAAAAGTATTTTGTAATATCTTTATGAAATGCTAAAATCGCACATGTGAATGRTAATAGTGAACCGAAGAGAGAGTTCTTGTCGTTGAACATGATTCGAAGTCGTGTCAATAACTAAATCACGTGATTTGATTGGCTATTAAACGGTCACTATTCAGSAGCGGKCAGTGCGTGAACAATAACGTTTTGGACCGGCAGCTCTTTTGAAAGACAAGCGTTCATTTTGMMCCACAGTCTCAAATCACTGAATTARAATTAAAAAGGACAAAAATATATAAAATTTGTTTACGTGTAGGTTGAAGATTTTGATTTATTGCCAAAATTCTCGATAACTAACAGCTAGTTTTTGATAAAACAAGATGTATTTAGGCAGGTAGGACACTGGAGATAATTGTTCATTCCATCGACAGACAAATTTAAAAACGTTTTAAGTGTTAAGAAATAGTGGCGTATGTAAACAATAAAATGTAATATGGTAATTTCTTTTAAAATATCTTTAAAGACATTTTCTTAATTTTTTAAAGATTCCTTTTTAATGCATGCCTTGCTCAATTAAGAGGTGCATTTCCTTCAAAAATGTGTCACAGCCATTCAAAGACTCCAGTCTGATTCACATATAAATCTGTACTTTATGGCCAATGGTTGCCCTACCATGCATCAATGCATTCCTTTGTAAATTTTGGCGCATTTTCGAACAGATGTAGTGTAGGTTACTCAATATTGAACCGAACGACACCAAATTTCACCACCATTCACATCAACAGACAAATTTAAAAACGTTAAGTGTTAGAAAATAAAGAACATCAATATGACGTAGGGGAAATTGACATTACAAACAATGTCATTCAGAGTATTTATGGGTGACCAGCTTTCGGATGCATTTGACGAGCGTATTAGCAATGGTGGTCTTATAAGTGTACTATAACGGTTCAGTAATTTGTCGGAAGGAATGGGAGCTATCATATCAAATCCAAAGTAGCAGAGGAGCAAAGCGTTGCATCAGACAAWTCAACCTAAAAAATAATCTGTCCTCCGCTCAATAGTCACCATAACAATTACTAATTATCTCCCCGGCAAGGAGGTGTGCAAGTTAAATAACAACATATTACATATGTACATGATGGTAAATATAATTCATAGCATTGTCTTTATTTATATTGTATTCTTTTAAATGCCTTTAAGCATACTAAATGTGGTAGTGTTCGTAGGCTTTTATTTTTGGTAAACTGTTCCATAAGGATTTTGCTGTATGCTGTATATAAGAATATTGTATCTGACAAATGCCAGTTTTGTATAGTAGTTAGGTGTATAGTAGGTACAATGTAGGTAGGATTGAAACCTTTCAAACATTAAATCCATCGCTCTGTTGACGTCAACCTTGCTGGCTCGGAGCACATATAATCCCGTCTGCAAAAGTTTTTGAATGCTTTGAATTCCTCCCTAGGTCTTGAATACGCTCATCATAGGACAGCGCACCCTTGTGCGCCGAGGTCTTTTGCTAAAGAAACAGACTTAACTCCTCTTCAGATAACGAAGTGAGGAAACTTGCAGGAAACATCTGTCTGACACCCTTCGCTTTGAGAGTAATTAAACTTTGGTGTGAAATAGTGCGTAGACTGAATTAAAACTTGGGGAAGTTTCATTACCGTTCACTTAAATTGACTTCTGAACCATTGCTCGTCTATTGCTGAAATRCCCAAATACAGTGATTATTAATCACTTAATAAGTGGTGTTCGCGGATATCAAACTCGTTAGATAACTTTAGAACTGCTAACCAATAGCATGCTGTATGTTGTCGGACATCATGATGTTCAGTGCCTCACTGAGTTGAGTGCATTTCTTTGTTTCCACTTTGTCRTTTGGTAACTGACAATTTTTAGGATATGAGTTGGTTGAGGTGATGTTTTTAACAAGTTTATTTGTATGTGTATGCATCCTGACCAACTTAGCTAATTTTGCGGTCTCGTGTTAGCACATGTTGAGTTTTCCTCGGGTCACAASKTTTTTTTAATTTTCCACCATTTTTCACCATTTGGTAAGAATTCATTGTTCTTTTATTACTGTTTCATGTTTTGTAGCTTTACTTGTTGTGTCTTTTTCAGGATTTTCATTAGAATTATTTCATTGTTAAATCTAATGAATGAATTAAATGTGCATTGTGAATGTAAGCTTCCYACATCGTTCACGTKATTCACGACTGCTCGTTCATGGCATAAATCARCGCTTCTCGATGCAGCAAGAGGKAGCAAGATAKGACGATRATAAGCTTGGTTCTAAAATCAATATAATTAGAGACAAATGCAAGGTAGAAAGGTAACCTCTACTCGACTGCTATTTGTCAAGTTCCATCTAAACTAAGCAACTCTACGTTAGGAAACAACAATACAAATGGTGGTACTTCCTTTCCTTTTCTAACACACAAAGATGTTCATGAAATTTGACAATGTCGTACGACTTYCATATATGGATGTCCATATGCATGGCTCTGATGTACCTATACAAAGTACTCATGTCCCTATAGAACGTTCATTKACTATATATTCAATCTTATGTACATATGCGTGCTTATTCATGCATGCCGTATTATAAATATCACATCGATTCAAGTTCACGCAAGCGAATTGATCTCATGGCGTAATGGTTAGGTTTAAGGAAAATATCGGGTTAGGCAATGCATAGCGCTGGTTCGAATCTTAGTACGCGTCCTTCAAAAATTTCTTTTCAGTTTAAGTTTAAGTATTTGAAAATGTTCTAAGTTCACCTCCACATAAATGGGACATCAGAGGCTTCTATGTGCACATCAGCGCCGTGCATGCAAAGTCACATATCGTACGACAGACCCTTYTCCAGCAGTCGTCGTAAGCACTGTGGATATTAAACAGAGAGACCGACGTTGTTGTATATTGTGTGGTTGTAAAGTTTTRAAATTGTGGGCAGACCACAAATGGCAATCTTCAAAGAATCGCACCATGTAAAGGAATCCATAGAACATAGGATTTCGGATTCCAAGCGCTGGATTTAGGATTCCAGAAGATTGGATTCCGGAATCCAAAGACTGTGTTAGTTTTGGATTTCAAAAATTTTKCTGGATTCTTGATTCCAAAAATTTATATTCCAGAATACAGATTCCGGATTCCAAAGCTGTTTTTACTGGATTCCGGACTGGATTTTCTTACATGGGGCGAAAAGGATCAATTATTTCCAGGCGAATGGAAAATTTCTAATGATCGATTCAATTCAAATATCAATAAGGGGTGAGGGCCCATTTATCTCWGGGTCTCATAACAAAGGAAACCCAGCATGGTTACCTCCGGAAAAGGCCAAAATARAAACAACCATTTATAGCTTCATTTATCCCTCAAATTTTTGATTTACAATTTTTTTTGATTAGTCAGTCTTTTTCTTTTAAAATATTTGTAAAAAAATTCCAAAGGCACAACCCTTTGT